CATCAACATTTAGCAACCTTTGATTTACATGCTCAAGTAGAGAAAGAACTGTCGCTTGTGGGACTGCCTCTACTCTCAAGAAACAAGTGATGGGGAATTGGCAGCCCTCCAGGTGCGACTGGACTACAACTCTCATCATCCCCTCAACACTGCCACTGGTGTTGGGAGGTGATGGGAGTCAGGAAACTCTGGAGAGAGGGAGAAATACTGTGGATAGTAGATGTCATGAATTTGATTATGAAAATAGAATAAGGTTGTATTCCATAGGATTTAGTTCAGAGCTGCAACGAAAAAGCTAGAAATCTGCTTATGCCCAGGTGCTAATTAGAGAGAAAATGTACAAGGTCAGTTCTTCTCCAGCTAAAGGAAAAAAAAAAGTTAAGAAGAGCAAGCTGACCTTATCTTATCTCAACTCCGATGGACAAGGACATAACTTCTTAATTTAAGAAAGATGGGCGAAGAGAGACGAGAGAAGAAGGAGAAGGACGGAGAAGAGATGACATACCGAGAGAAATGCAGCCGACAGGACTTTATCTTTGCGTAAGAATGCTTATTTAAGATATAGTTAGTGAGTTTATTATTTTCACTTTTATAGAGGAAATGACTGGTGGCTAAGGCTGGGGGTTATTTTTGGAAATACTGAATAACATTAAAATAAGCTTGTTGAAATGCTATCTTTTGTAATAAAATATAAAAAGACAAATTGTCTGTAAGCTGTCTCCTTGCTTAGACCAAGCTACTGTAGTCAATTGGATATTTTGAACTAAGATTGTTTTGATCTGGCCACATTACCATATTACCAAAAGAGGGTCCTGAAGTAATAAAAGAGGAAGAGCAGACCTTCCAGATTGTTTATATAAAATCGAGACAGACTTGGGTGAAGGAGTGAGAAGTTGCCTAGGGCAAAATTACAGGACCCGGTTTTGCTAACATTAGGGACTAATCATTCTGAATCCCTCTCTGTCTCGTGTAAAGGCAGTTCTAAGGAACGCTTTTACCACA